CTACTACTACTACTACTTCTCGTCCTTCTGCTGCTAGCTGCTCTTCTGGTCAGTGTCGCTTCCGGCTATTTGCTGATGGTAATGGTGATGGGATCGATGATGATGGTGATGGTGATGACGAAGACGATGATAATGATGATGGTCATCACCACCATCATCATCATCATCATCACCATGATCCTGGTGATCATGTTGATCATGACAATCATGATGGCCATGATGCTGATGATTTAGGTTGATGATGGTGATCACGGTCATCTGCTTTAGAGGTGGTGATGGTGATCTCGTGGCGTTACCGCTGCTGACGGGCGATGAAGATGTTCGATTTTCAACGACGAAATGCAAGAAATATCTTGCATATGTCTGCAATGCATGCGCTGCAACTTGAAGCACAGAGTTGCTCCTGAGCATGGAAGCCCTCAAACTTGTAGATCCATGTTCTAGAACCAATATCCCTAGACCCTCAAGACACCTGTAGTGCCCAAACCCATCTTGTCGAACCCCAAGCTCACCACGTTAAGGGTCGTTTTGGTATATCTTACAGACGCTTCTCCTCTGAATCCGCCTCCTAGTGTGCTTCTTGTTGCTGTTAGACTTGGTGCTCAGGGTCACAGAAGATAAAATGAGAAGATTCTGAGACTTAGGTTCCCATGAAGTTTGTTCAAAACTTGCTGGAGTTTTGTTGAAGGCCGCACTGGATTATTGTAGCATGTCATAGTCTGTGTCGTTTAGTAATTAGATTGGCGCATCAGGTGCGGGGCTAACCTACAAGTCTGACCATGAAGGAGACATGTTTTCTGTCAGCCGTTGTAGGGCGAGTCATGTGGCTAGAGTGGGACCTCGGCTTTCACATCCAGCTCCTTGTTCAGATCAACATTGACCGTCAAGGCTTCGATCTCGCCGGCTTCAGTCGTCTGAACACAGACCTTCTCAAAGTGGTTCTTATCCTGCCCGCAGAAACCCCCCCCGGAAGTACTGACCGGAGCCCTTGTCCGTTTATCCGGAGGCACGTAGGTGTTGGGATCCTGGAAGACGATCACCACGTGTCCATCTTCTTGAAGCTCTGGGTGGAACCAATACCTCATGTTTGGGAATTTCTTCCCGTTAAACACGTGCACTGATTTTGCGACCTCGAGGGGCCTGTCACCACCGTAGTGGAACCATTCCGTGGGAGGCATTATCGGGTGCCTTGATGACGCAGTGGACGCAAAATGCTGGCCAACAGCGCCTTCGAAAGCCTTTCCCAAGGCAACTTGGCCGGATCGATGGAGTGAGCCTGCTTGCCTGTGAGTCTGAGCACATTGTCCAACATGCCCTGGGCCGTGTGCGGCTGCAACGCCCGTTGCCATCCCACATAGCTTGCTAACAACCATATCACCGATGTCGCTGTAAAGGGACTGCATAATCTCGTTCCAGGCAAAGGTCTTGTCGATTGGCTCCACGTCTCCAGCGGGGGTTGTAGCCATCTGGCAAAGGCCCTCGCGGTCTTTATCATCGATCCGTCTTCCGCCATCTTCGTTCAGCGAGAGAAAGCCGATGGTAGGCAGGCAGTTCCACGAGCTCGTCCAGCAGCATTGTTTCTCGGACCCCCGCTCTGTTCCTTACTTCCCCGACAAGCCAGGGAAATACAAGGTTAAACTTTCAGATTACTACTAAACTATAAGAACCCAAAAAGTTTAAAGGTTGGGTATTGGGGAACTAAGGTTCCCCAGTGCCACCAGAAGGGCCTGTCCGGCCGCATTTGCTTCAACGTCTGGCAATCTACTCGCTGCATGTCCTCCGTGTGTCCCGGTTTTCGGAGCGTGCTCCCCACCTCTTTGTGCCGCTTGCAGCAACAAACATCATCGTATCCGAGACTGCCTCCCGTCGACATCTGCTGTTGATGAGCAGGTCGAGCACTCTCGACTGGAACTCCGAAGATCAGGGCCACGAAGCAAGCAACGTGCATCGCTGAATACTCGAATCTAGTCATGTAGCGGCCTGTGCTCTTGCGCACAGTCCGGGAAACCTGATTTCAAACTTGAGCAACTCAAACTTGCCGCACTAGACTCGCAGATTCCAAGCATCCAAGTGCGCGCGAAAACACGAAGCCCAAACCCTAAACACCCTAAACACCCTAAACCCCAAACACCCTCAACCATAAAAAACCTAAACCCTAAACCCTAAACACCCTAAACCCTAAACCCTAAACACCCTAAACACAAAACCCTAAACAGTTGCAACTCTGAAGCCTGGACCCGGCAATCGGAGGTCCGAAACTCCCTTTTTGATAGGGACCTCAATAATTAGAACAGAAGGGTTCCATACGGGCTACTATAAGGGTTTGACGTAGGGGCCTTAATAATTAGAAAAGGGTTTTGGTGCATTTTATATTATAACTATAGCAGGGAAACCAAAAAATAGTATTGGTAATTATTTAGGCTCCTATATTCAACCCCGAAACTGGAATTGCCTAAACTCCCCAAAACTCCCTCAAGCCAGACCCCCAAAATTGCAGAGCTCTTGGTTCGACACTCAGCCGTGAGCTCGAATTTGCGGTTCAGGGCTTAAGGGCTTAAGGGTTTAGGGTTTGGGGGTTAGGGTTCCCTTACAAAGACCCGAACTTCGCCCCCAAACCCTAAACCCTAAACCCTAAACCCCAAACCCCTAAACCCTAAACCCCTAAACCCTAAACCCTGAATCCTAAACTCTAAATCCGACATCCTGATGCTTTGCACAGTAAACCAAAGCCAGCAGGCTTTGCGTAGAGCACCAGCTTCATCATGCAGCTCACAGAGGGGCAGAACTGGCAAAGGCCTTCGGAGGTCGACATTCTTTGGACATCGATGCTTTGGGCTTAGGGCCTAAACAGGTTTTTGACGGCCATGCTTGTGCAATCAGCGCGCGCTACCCTAAGCAGGTTTAGGTTTCAGGGGCTTAGGGTAGGACTTTCGCAGCTGCTTTGGCTTGAACTGAGAGGAGAGAGTTCGGGGTTGAGGCTTTCTCTTGGATTTTGGGGCCGAGGGCGCCAGATCTGGGGTTCAAAGTTTAGGGTTTAGGGTTTAGGGAAAATAAGAATAACAATAACAATAGTAGTAGGGAACCCCCAAAAAAATAGTATTGGTAATAACTTCGGCTCCTATATTATACCGTTCTGCACGATTGAAAACTTCGGGAGTATTCCATAGTCCAGTGCTGTGGTGCGCGTTGAATTTGGGTTCGCTGCAGAACCCGAATATAAAGGCCAAGCTCTAAACCTTTGCAGCATCGCGGACTTTGTCTTGAATTCTGGGGAGGGCGCTGATCAGTAGTATGCGCTAGGAGCCATTAGCGTCTAGGGCTTAGCATCTACTTGTCGGGCTTGCTGCCGCAACTGCCGTTTGGGATGTGTCATATCACCTTTTCGACTATAACGCATGCTACCACCGCAACGACAAGGACGATGACGGCCGCAAACCCCCCTAACCCCCAAACCCTACACTCGAAACCCTAAGCCCAACCGAACACTCCATACCCAGTACACGCCAACCTCTGCCCGAATTTCCTTGGATGGCTTTGAGGCATCTGAAAATGAAGGGTGCTGAACATTAGGGCTACCTTTTTGTTGAAGCGTCTCGAAAGGAAAAGGATCTTTGTGTTTAGGTTTTAGGGTTTTCTGTGAATAGAGCTTGGGGGAGTTGGAGCATCTACGACTTTAGGGTTTAGGGTTTAGGGTATCCTGGGTATATCTTGGTGGATGGCCCACAATCAGTTTGGGACGACGAAGACGACAAAATCTGCAACGACGTCGACGACAAAAATGATACTGCAGCATCAATCCTAACACTGTAAATTTGAAAAGCCCGAATTTTTATGGCATGTGGAGACCCACCCAGTTCCCCCCAAATTGCATGCCTGTAGCCCTGAACCCTATATCCCAAACCCTGACCCCTGGCGTGGGAACCTAGGCAATCAGAACAAGCTTTCGTGAAAAAAAAGCATATGAGACCATGGTCCAGCACCGTAAATTAAAGGAAACCCACAGGCGGGGAGTTTAGGGTATATAGGGCTTCTATAAGGCTTCCATAAGGTATATAGACCTTCTATAAGGCTCCTATAACGGTAACTACCCACCTGAAAATGTCCTCAACCAATCCCTAAACCCAAAGCCCCTAAACCCTAAACCCAAAACCCTTAAACTTTAAACCCCCTGAGCCCCAACTCAACGGGTTTTTCCCGTTTTTCCATTTACCGAGATGTTTGGAGTCCCTAATTTAGGGGCCTTAGCAATTAAAATGGGGTTTTGGGGGCTCCTGATTATAATTACAGTATAATATACCCCAAAACCCTTGCCTTGGAAAGCCAGAGCATTGCCGTACTGTAAACCACGAACATTTACAAGCCAGTACTAAGCTTGCGAACGCTCGGAAAGCTCCGACACCCTACCCAGTAGACTCATTTCTGGAACGACGTGACGGCTGGCCTCGTAAAAACAACTCCACGCGCTGCTGCATGTCCTGGAAAAGTCGGGAAGGTCTCAACAAAGCTACAAGTTCAGGGAGCCGAGACCTGTTTTCTGAAATACGCCTCGGTCGCAACAAAACTACAAAGCCCAAAAGCAGAGCGAAAACGATACCGAAAGGTTGACACCCCACACAGACAGCCCCGTAAGTTCGGTAAAGTACCTCAAAATTTAAACGGTGTCATACGGGTAGTTCTCTAAACTACGGTCCCTTTGTTAGGTCCCACTCATTTAGAGAACTGCCCATATGAGGATCAGAGGAAGCCTCCTTCACGTCCTGGGCTCTCTTGGAACATCGATTACCTGGAAAGCCGCCTAAGCCCAAACAACCGGTTAGGGTTTTGGACCTCGGGTAAGGGTCTAGGATTTTTTGCTAGGCTCCTGCTCCACCTTCTGCCGCTCTTTGACGTCCACAGGCGGGTTGGCATCAAACCGGTTCCGACTGTCGATGAAGTCTTGGAAGACCTTATTGGGCCATGGGCCCTACACCCTAAACCCTAAACCCTAAACCCTAAACCCTAAACCTAAACCCTAAACCCTAAACACAGCTTTTACCTGGGGTCCAGGTGAGTTTTGGCCATAGGGCGTTTCAGAGGGCCTAACACTTTGAATGTGAAACTGTTGATGGACAAAATTCTGCATGACCCAAATATAGTAGCATAAATCCCATAGTTTAGGCATATAAGGTCATGCAGGATTTTGTCCATCAACTGAAGTATTCTACCAGCGTTCTCGTTGCCCTTCGGCTTCAGGAAGTGGGTACTTTTCAGTGCAATAGCTGTTGCGGCTATGGGGGGGTGGGGGGGGCGGTTGGGGTTTCGGTTTAGGGGTTTAGGGTTTAGGGTTTAGGCGGTTTAGACTCTGCAGCCGCAAGTCTACACAACCGGCTTGGAATCTGGTCACACATGGCATGCTTCGTCGTTCAAGCTATGCCCGAGGCAACTATGCATCCCTGCACGTGAACGTCAAGCTGGAAACCCTAAACACCGATATAGCGGCCTTGCTTACTAATTGTAACTAGGAGCCCTTAGAAATATCACTCCTACCTACAAGTTGTTATTGCAGCTTCGTGTGTTCTGGAAACTTCCTTCCTGATTCACTCTGTCGTTGAATGTTTGGGACTTGACATGCAGTTCGGAAGGTCTGCTGGGAGAGGAGGGCGATGGAATCACCGCCCAGGATCCACGAATAGTGCTGGAGTTTTCATAAGGCATCGAAAGGTTGCTACGTAGACTTAGATGGTTTCACAATCATGCTTCGGAAAGGTGTAGGAAATGGCGCCCAGCAAGTAGGGTGTTAATGTAGGGGCTAGATAATTGCCAATACTATGTTGGAGATTCCTTGCTATAACTATCGTATAATCGGCCCCCAAAACCTATTCTAACTATTAAGAAGGACCCTACATTAAACCCTTATAGCAACCCTTATGAGACCCTTTTGAATAACCTGTAAAAGAACTCTATTCTAATTATGAAGGCCCCTATATTAGTTGCTCTGCTTCTGCTAAGTCCCCTGATGCAGTGGGATTTTTCACAAGGCTGGTTTTGGGTCTTGCGCTATCGCTTCAGGAGTCTTACAACTCTGTCGACGGAAACCGGTCCTCCTCTCCATGGCTCCCTCTCTCTCTCTCTTTCTCCCTCTCTCTCTCTCTCTCTGTCTCTCTCTCTCTCTCTCTTTCTCGCTCTCTCTCTCTGTCTCTCTCTCTCTCTCTCTGTCTCTCTCTCTCTCTCTCT